ATTATGTTGTTTTCCCTTTATTCACATTCCAGATTCCCATAGGGCAGTGGTTCCCAAACTGGGGTTCGTGAACCCCTGGGGGTTCGCGAAATGTTACAGGGGGTTCTCAGGAAAAAATTCCCTAATGGCGGACAGAACTGTCCCTAGGGATCTTGGGCAGCACAGGGCCAGCAGCCCAGAGCCCCTGGACTTCCAAGAGCTAAGCAGCTCAAAGCAAGCCTATCTATCACACTGAGGAGATTTAAACTTCAAGACTCCTTATAAGAAATGGAAAGGGAGGTGGATATTTTTTGATATTTTTAAAATTAAATAGGCAGCTAGTATTGTTTTTTAAATTATTATGAAGAAAAAGTTTAAGTTTTGTTGTAACGTGCGTTGTTTGCCTGGACTGCTCAAGACCTGAATGCTTGTGTAGGAGAAACTCTTTGAGTTGGCTTCTTAAATACCTTCATGCTGTTTCACATCTGATACTCCTTGATGAAACATAGGAGCCTTGTCTTATAACAGGCTTATTCAAAGTGATACAAGCTACGAAAGTGAGATCTTGGAAGAGTGTTGCCATTTTCATAATGTAATAAAAAAACTGTAATGATAAATAATAATGAATAGTGTGTAATAAACAGTGTCTCATAAAAACAAATTTTATATTACCAAGATCACTGCTTTTATAATTTATATTCAGGTAAAGGAGAAAATCCCTGGAAATATTCATTTTTTAGGAGGGGGTTCACGACACTTGACATTTTAGCGAAAGGGGTTCACAGGTTCTTAAAGTTTGGGAACCACTGCCATAGGGTGAAATGAAACGCCTGTTGCCCCACAAATGGGGGGGGGGGAGTGTGTTTTTTTCCCCCTTTATGCTGAAGACAGATAAACATTAACCTTCAGGGATTAGTCATGTCCACAATATTGTAGCTATTTAAGATAAAAGGAAAAATAGCCCACAATCTCTCATGATTACAGAAATGTGCAGAAAAATGTGTAATTTATAACAAAGGTATTTCATTTTGCTCATTTGATTATGATGAATCTAAAAGGAAACGATAAACCTAATCCCATTTTCAGCTGAATCTTTTTTTTTTTTAAAACCTGTAATATTATTTTGAAATTGTTTACTCAGCAGCTGACAGCACTGGTGGCAGAATCAGTTTCACTGTTTTGTCACACTTCCTGTCTCATACACTAGCATAATGACATGGCTCTTATACGTTGCAGAGGGTATAATCCACGAGCACCAGTTTGAGGTCATAAGAACATAAGAATGGCCATACTGGGTCAGACCAAAGGTCCATCAAGCCCAGTATCCTGTCCTCTGACAGTGGCCAATGGCAGGTGCCCCAAAGGGAATGAACAGACAGATCATCATCAAGTGATCCATGCCCTGTCACCCAATCCCAGCTTCTGGCAAAAAGAGGCTAGGGACACCATCCCAGCCCATCCTGGCTAATAGCCATTGATGGACCTATCTTCTATCAATCTATCTAGCTCCCTTTTGAACCCCGTTATAGTATTGGCCTTCACAACACCCTCTGGCAAGGAGTTCCAGAGGTTGACAGTGTGTTGTGTGAAAAGATACTTTCTTGTGTTTGTTTTAAAACTTGCTACCTATTAATTGCATTTGGTGGCCCCTTGTTCTTGTATTATGAGAAGGAGTAATAACACTTCCTTATTTACTTTCTCTATACCATTCATGATTTTATAGACCTTCATCATATCCACCCCCTTAGTCGCCTCTTTTCCAAGCTGAAAAGTCCCAGTCTTATTAATCTCCTCTCATACGGAAGCCGTTCTATACCCCTAATCATTTTTGTTGCCATTTTCTGAACCTTTTCCAATTCCAATATATCTTTTTTGAGATGGGTGACCACATCTGCATGCAGTATTCAAGGTGTGGGCATACCATGGATTTATATAAAGGCAAGATGATATTTTCTGTCTTGTTAGCCATCCCTTTCTTGATGATTCCCAACATTCTGTTCGCTTTTTTGACTGCCGTGCACATTGAGTGGATGTTTCAGAGAACTATCCACAATGACACCAAGATCTCTTTCTTGAGTGGTAACAGCTAATTTAGACCCCATCATTGTATATGTATAGTTAGGATTATGTTTTCCAATGTGCATTACCTTGCATTTATCAACATTAAATTTCATCTGCCATTTTGTTGCCCAGTCACGCAGTTTTGAGAGATCCTTTTGTAGCTCTTTGCAGTCTGCCTGGGACTTAATTATCTTGAGTAGTTTTGTATCATTGGCAAAATTTGCCATCTCGCGGTTTACCCCTTTTTCCAGATCATTTATGAATATGTTAAATAGGACTGGGCCCAGGACAGATCCTCAGGGGACACCACTATTTACCTCTCTCCATTCTGAAAACTGACCATTTATTCCTACCCTTTGTTTCCTATCTTTTAACCACTTACCAATCCATGAGAGAACCTTCCCTCTTATCCCATGACTACTTATTTTGCTTAAGAGTCTTTGGTGAGGGACTTTGTCAAAGGCTTTCTGAAAATCGAAATACACTATACCCACTGGATCTCCTTTGTCCACATGCGTGTTGACTCCCTCAAAGAATTCTAGTAGATTGGTGAGGCATGATTTCCCTTTACAAAAACCATGTTGACTATTTCCCAACAAATTATGTTCGTCTATGTGTCTGACAATTTTGTTCTTTACGACGGTTTCAATCAATTTGCCCGGTTCTGAAGTGAGACTTACTGGCCTATAGTTGCTAGGGTCACTTTTCTGGAGCCCTTTTTAAAAATTGGCGTCATATTAGCTATCCTCCAGTCATTTGGTACAGTAGCTGATTTAAGTGATAGTTACAGATGACAGTTAGTAGTCCTGCAATTTCACATTTGAGTTCCTTCGGAACTCTTGGGTGATTACCATTAGGTCCTGGAGACTTATTACTGTTTAATTACTTATTATTATTTAGTTTAGGTCAGGGTGCCTCCTCTTTCCCTGAATCTCACCATGGGATTCAGAAGCAATTTGAACCCATGACTATTGTGGGAGAGGGAAGAGAGAAAGCCCCCTTTACTCCCCAGACTTCTGCATGCAGCCAGGGACCAAGGTGAGAAACAGGAATGCTCTTGACTCCTTCATAGCTGGAAAGGAAGAACCTGTTGTACACATGCCCCACACTATGCCTCTCTGTGGACCCAAGCTAGAGAGAAAAAGTCCAGGCAAGAAGTGAGGAAGTACTGACCTGGGAGGGAAGGATGGCGGGAGAAGACCTTCAAGCCCCTTTGTAGGATCCAGAAAAGATCTAGAGCAGCTGGGACGAGATGGAGAGGTGGCAGCCTCCTCTGATCCTGCTGGAGCCAGAGGATGAGCAGAGCCAAGAGGCAGCAAGGGCTAAAGGCACCCCTCCACGCTCTCCCTCCCTCCCCCTAAAGACAGGAGAAGGGAGGGAGATGAGACCAAGAGGGAAGAGGGCTGCAAGTCCCTTGTCCATGGCCCCCTCCATAGAAGTCCTACTTGAGGACTCAGCCTCCCTCCCCACAGGAAGCCAGGTGACGGGAGAAGGCAGCAGCATCTGAGATAGGGCTGCAGGGGAAATACCCTGTCTCTGCCATAGGGAAGGGCAGAAGGCTGCAACAACTGTAGATGGGAGTGAGACCAGAAGGGGACTTGGAAGAAAGTAGTGTCTTATGGTCAAAACACTGGACTGATCCTCAGGAGATTTGGGTTCTGTTCCTGGCTCTGCCACAGTCTTCCTGTGTGACCTTGGCCAAGTCATTTGCTATGTCTTGGTCCCCCATCTGTAAAATGAGGATGACAATAAGACTTTCCTGCCTTAGCTGGATGTTAAGAGAGTCAATTCATTAAGATTGTGAGGTACTCTGATACTGAGATAGAAATATTTCTTGCTTCTCCATGGCACTAAACAGGAGGATCAACAGGCGGGAGCAGGCTAAGAGACACCCCCTTCCCCCCAGGCCTTTGTGGAGCTGGGCAGGAGGAGGCAGCAGCTGGAAGGAGAGGAGACAGTCTCTTGGCTGCAGCTGTCCCAGTCTTGTGCACAGCAGTAAATTTCAGCTCCGGTGCATGTCCCCTGAGAGCCCTTGCTGTGGGCTTACACACTCTCTTGTTTGTATGGGTCTTTCTGAAACAGCCAGGAAAACCGAGTTGAAATCAAAGGGGCACTCTGGGGCAGGCCAGCTGCACCAACATGCAATGATTATTTGTGGCTGTCATTATAGGTACATCTTTCGTGTGCTCTGACCTAAAGCCAAATCTAGGGAGCAAATACCCTGAGTATTTTATGATCCAGTCCAGATTCAGCTCAGCGTTTTCCCATTCAGCAACGTAACACTGATAGTACAAAGCTTTAACTTAACTCATCAGGCAAGACACAGAACAGAGGGGGGGGGGGGTGAGAGAAGAGCTGCGAACCCGCTGCTGCCTCTTGGAGCAGGAGCAAAAGAGAAGAGGAAGCAGAGAAAAGCAACACGTGCAGCAGCATCTCTGTCTGTCTCGCTGCGAGATCAAACCAGCAAGACGCAGGAGCTGAGCCAGCCAATCCCCCCACTCGTGCTGCCGCCAGCCGGGCAAGCGAACTGGGGGGTGGAAGGGGGAAGCCGTCCCGGGCTGGACAAGCTGCCTTCACTTCTGTGTAGCTGCTGCAGAGTCACCGCGCTCTCCCGGGAGAGACCGAGACGAGCTGCCCAGACACTTTCTAGCGCCGCAGGCAGGTGTCCCTAGAGCTGGGGGGGGTAGCGCCTGGCTCCCCAGGGGAGGGCAGGGGGAAAGTACCTTCCCCCCATGCGAGCCAAGCGGGCTCATTTCTGGGCACCGCTCCCGGCCAGGCTATCCTGGCTCCGCGCTTCAGCGAACCTGCCCCGCTCCCCTGGACCCCACGCCCGCGCTCCTCGCTGCAGAGCAGGGGGCCCCCCGGCCCCTCCACCCGGATCCGGGCCCCAGCGCCCCCCCCCTTTGCCTCCTCTCCCGCCCCCAGCCCCTGCGCTGCCTGTTGCCCTGCCCGGGACTCACCCTCCTGTCTCGGCTCCCGAGTCCACGCAGTCATCCTCGCCGCCCGGCTTCCTCTCCATAGCGGGCGTCAGGGCTCCAGCTCCGCGGCCGGCGGCCCCTGCCTCCTCCCCCGGCTGGCTGCGGCCGCCTCCCGCCGCGCGCTCCCCCAGCGCTGGGGGTGAGGAGCCAGCGCAGGCCGCCGGGCTCCCCTCTCCCTTGGCAGCGAGAGCGTGTGCGGAGCCTCCCCGCCCCCAGCCAGCTCCGCCGCGGGGCTCTGGGTGTCAGCGCCGCTCCTCTGGCCCGGCCTCCTCCCCGCCTTTGTGCGCGGCTCCTGCATCTCCCCCGCCCCCCCAGTGGCCTGCCCGCTCCGCAGCAGCGACTCTCTCGCTGAGAAGGGGGCGCAGCCCTCCCCCCACGCTTTGGAAGTGGGTCTGTCCCATAGGTGACATCTTCATCGAGAAAAGCTCCCCAGTCGGGCCCTATTAGTTATTACAAACACATGTGGGAGTCACACGTGCTTGTGAGCACATGACAAACTCCAAGGAACTAACCCTGCTTGGTTCCAGTGGCTCTAGCCAGGGCTGGCTCCAGGCACCAGCTTGGCCAGCAGGTGCTTGGGGCGGCCACACCGGAGAGGGGCGGCAGTTCCAGCTATTCGGTGGCAATTCGGCGGACGGTCCCTCACTCCCTCTCAGAGCGAAGGACCTCCCGCCAAATTGCTGCCACAGATCGCGATCGTGGCTTTTTTTTTTTTTTTTTTTTTGGCTGCTTGGGGCGGCCAAAACCCTGGAGCCAGCCCTGGCTCTGGCTGAAATCTGCCTTCTCCCCTCCCTTTGCTGGTTACAAGGGGCTACCTTTCAGGGGCCGTGGTAATATATAGTCTGAGACCTACTTTGAGATCTGCTGGGATGAAATGGAAAGGATTATTGCTTGGGCTTTCCAAAGGGGCCTAAGGGCTTGTCTACACTTGGAAGTTTTGCCAATTTAACCATACTAGTAGTTAAAGGGGCAACCCACTCCCCTGTCGTGGGCGCAGTTAGGTAGCTATAAAGGTGCTTACATTGGCTGGTAGAGCTGATTCTGGTTCAGGGAATGAAATAAATTATGTGGGAATAAGGCCCTTTATGCCCCTTTATAACTGCATACAGTTTCTGGTGTATAGCAGTATAATGATTTTGGTTAAAAAAAAATCAACTATTAACCAACATATACCTTTTCTAGTAGACCAGGCTGAAGAGAGTTGTATGCCCAACACCCATTGAAAGTCACATTCTGATTTCCTTCCCCAGACCTGAAGAGATCTGTGTAGCCAGGGCTGGCTCCAGGCACCAGCCTACCAAGCATGTGCTTGGGGCGGCACCTGGAGGGGGGCGGCGCTCAGTGTTGGGGTTTTTTTTAAACATGCTGGGGCTGTTGGGGCGCTCAGCAGCGCTCCAGCCCGAGAGCGGGGCCGCGACTGGGCTCGCCGCCCTCCCCGCGGCGCTCCGGCTCCCGGGGAGAGCGGAGCCGCAGCGGGCTCGCCACCCTCCCCCGGCGCTCCGGCCAGCCGGGGAGAGCGGGGCCGCGGCCGGGCTCTCCGCCCTCCTCCCGGCGCTCCGGCCGGTCGGGGAGAGGGGGCCCCGGCAGGGCTCTCCGCTCTCCTCCCGGCACTCCGGCTGGTCGGGAAGAGCGGGGCCCCGGCCGGGCTCTCCGCCCTCCTCCCGGCGCTCCGGCCGGTCGGGGAGAGCGGGGCCCCGGCCGGGCTCGCCGCCCTCCCCTGCTGCGCTCCCCGCCGGGGGGTGGGGGGGTGGCAGGAGGCTTTTTTGCCTGGGGTGGCAAAAAAGCCAGAGCCTGCCCTGTGTGTAGCTCAAAAGTTCAACCTTCCACATATTACCTCACTCAATATTGGGGTTGGAAAGGACTTCAGGAGGTCATGTAGTCTAACCTGCTGTTCAAAGCAGGACTAATCCCCAGACAGATTTGTACCCCACTTCCCTAAACGGCCCCCTCAAGGATTGAACTCACAACCCTGGATTTAGCAGGCCAATGCTCAAACCACTGAGCTACCCCCCTTCCTTCCTGTCTCTGGCTCTCTATGAAGAACTATGGAGCTTTCTTCCTTCTCACCCAGTTTCAACTTGTGCTTGATATTCCAGCAAAGTTAAATACAATTACTTTTTAAATTATATCATCCCATTCTGCAGACAATCAGCACACAATTCCTACTGACTCAAAAGAACCATACAAATAATTCTCATTTCCTACAATCCGTATTATTACCCAACTATGACCAAAGAAAGTGGTGAAAGTCTCAGCATTTGTGACATTTAAAACTAGATTGGACAAGACATTAACTAATATACTGTGGGAAACAAGCCTATATTGGCAAAAGGTGGACTAGATGCTTTAATACCATATGTATTTTCCATCTCTGATTTCCATAGCTGTGTCTACTTTGCCATAGATTTTGGGAAATTTCCCCATTATTGTACCATAACCAGTTCACCTTCACTGGTGGCAGCAGTGTTGGCAGCACTACTGTAGAGTAAGTACCGGCAAGGCATAGGTTAACATCCTGCTGTCTAGACCTGTTCTAAACAAGTCTGTTGTAGACACAGGTAGGTGGCACCATATTAAAAAAAAATGCCTTGTGGTCTGTTTGCACCATATCTGTTCCTGGAAGTGGAACTTGTTTAGAAGTAGTGCAACAGTGGATGATTCCTAAAACAGCCTAAAGACCCTAAACCAAAGGTCCCCAAACTCTGGGGCATGGCCCCCTAGGGTTTTGTTTTAAAAAATGCCCTAGAGAGTGTGCAGAAAACAAGGGGGACATGGAGGAATGTCTGTGGGGGCACGGCGGGGCCCAGGCCTGCCCCCATGGGAGGTGGGAAGGGAGTGCCCCCCAGCCCCTCCATGTCCCCAGCTCTGCTCTGGTCCCATCCCCAGCCTTGGGGTGGCTCCGCTCCCGGCCCCAGACCCACCCTAACTGTGGCCCCAGCCTCGGCTCCCTTACCCCTGTCTGTGTTCCCCCCTCCCGAGCCGCGTCCCTGCTCCCATCCCCAGCTCCAGGAGGACAGGGGGGCATTGACAGGAGTGAGGGGGAACACAACCCTCAAAAGTTTGGGGACCGCTGCCCTAAAAGCAATGAGACTACTCCAGTTTCACTGTATGAGGTACATCAGTGTGCAGAGGGGCCGTGGGAGGGGCGGAGACTCCTCAGCCCCGGGGCACTATTTCCCTGTGGTTCTGTATGGTAGTACAGAGATGGTCTAGGCATGTGGCCAATGTGTCTATGAATCATACAGATCCATTACCCCCAAATACCATTGGTATATAAGGATTGTAGGCTGTAGCAGTTTTGAATATTTTCATGAATTTTAATGTATGTTAATATTGGTTTAAAATAGCCTTTTTTCCCCGGTATACAAGAGCTTTCCTATTATTCAAATAAAAAAGTATGGCTTATATACTATATAAGCTCTGTTCACTGAAGTCTCATCCCTCCCCCTCTCTCCCATTGAGTTAGTAAAAACTAGTCCTATAAGGAACAATCCTGCACTATCAGGGGGATGTCACATATATAGCCCTTTATACATTAAAATATTAAGGGACAGATTCGGCCCCCCCTCCCCCTTACTCCTGTAGAATAACACAACTGAAATCAATAAGGTTAGTTACATGTGCAAAGTTACGTTTAAAGGACCGGAGACAGAGAACTCTACTAGGCAGCGTGAACAATGGTGGCAGAATCTGGTCCTAAACCAGTTAATCCTCAAAACACCCTGTGAGATAAGAGGTATTTGTGACCTTCTCCTCTGGTGTTATCTGGATCGGTGATCTGCTAGGTTACTCCAGTCCTTGACTCTGGGAGCCAGCCTTACCCTGCTCTGCTGTGAGAACCCTCACTCCTGGGATGTTCACACACAGCCTCTGGCATGTAAGCTGCTCCTTGGATTGTGCAACTGAACAACACTAGCCAATATCTCTGGTCCCAGACACAACCCTAGGAACCTCCGTCTTGCAGTGTCCAGTTATGCCCGCTGGACGCTGCAAGCTTATAGGAGTTCATCAATTTAACAAAGAAATTGATATGTACCAGGCTGGTTATCCCAAGGGGAGTCTCTGACACGCTTCAAACCAAACGCACTGCTTCAGGTAGAATAAACAAACAGATTTATTAACTACAACGGTAGATTTTAAGTGATTATAAGTCAAAGCATAACAAGTCAGATTTGGTCAAATGAAATAAAAGCAAAACACATTCTAAGCTGATCTTAATACTTTCAATGCCCTTCCAAACTTAGATGCTTCTAACCACAGGCTGGCTGGTTGCTCTTCAGCCAGGCTCTCCCCTTTGATCAGCGCTTCATTCGCTTGGTGTGGTGTCTGTAGATGTAGGTGGAAGAGAGAGGAAGAGCATGGCAAACGTCTCTCCCTTTTATCATGTTCTTTCTTCCCCCTTGGCTTTGCCCCCCCCTTCCTTCAGAGTCAGGTGAGCATTACCTCATCACAGTCCCAAACTAACCAAAGGAAGGGGGGTGACTCACTCGATAGTCCAACAGATCCTTTGTTGTTGCCTAGGTCAGTGTCCTTTGTTCCTGTGAGGCTGGGCTGGGTTTGTCCCATATATGCCCTGATGAGGTATGAACTACCCCTCTGCTTTTGGAGAGTTTTTGCCTGGGCTTGCTTTAAGCCATGAGGATACATTTTCAGCCTCATAACTATATACATGAAATTATAACCTATAACATTACTATAACAACAATTACTGTAACATCACTAGAACAACAATGCTCAGTGCATCATGAGCCTTCCGAAGACACCCGACATGACAAACTTTGCATTGGATACCACACAATCATTTTACAAGGATGAACATGGGAGTGCTGGGTGTTCCCCCGAGGTACAGAGCATCACGGTATTATCCCATGTTACAGTTGATGTGATTAAGTGATTTGCCCAAGGCTACAGAATGAGTTAGTGGCAAAACCAGGATTAGAATTCATTTCTTGGCTCCTAACCTGGGCCCCAATACTGTGAGGCATTGAATGTATAACTCTCAATGATGTCAATATCAGTTGAGGGCATTGAGCCTCTCTCA